ATTGCGTAATCCACATATTTATCTTACAATTAAATATATTTTCAACTTTTAAAATTCGAGATTAGATTTAGTCTATTATTTATTTAAAGGAAATCTTGTTTAATTCGTAACTTCTTCGTTATGGCTCCGATTAGAGTGTTTTTGGCGTCTGTGTGTTCGTACTAACGTGTAGAACATCTTTAAAACCTTTTTACTTGTTGTTTATTATGTTTGGTGTACTGTTCTAATTTAGATCTATTGTTTGCTTCGTGTATGATTGCATGAATGCTTGTGTGGTGTTTTATGATCTTGTCCAGTCGGTGAGCTTTACATGTTGATCAAGAAGGAGTTTCATTGAAGTTTTCGACTTGAAGAAGGATCAGAGTTTTAAGGAAAGTATAGAATGAGACCATCCTTGTTACCTATTCACCTTTAATCACTTAATTCATATTGCATGTGTCTACCTTGTTGCCAATAAGGTTATCCTAGATATTTGATATCTTGTACCTTGACACCATGGGTGATTGTGCATTGGGTAGTATTATGCTAGTGCTCAAGATGAATAACCATGATCTTGTAACTTGACTAATGGTATATGCAATAAACACTAAAAGATGCTTTTTAGCAACATGGAACAAGGGGGTTAGAGTATTGGGCTGTTTTTATGGTGCTCTAGATTTCTTTTTCTAAGGAGTTATCTATAAGTGGTCATCCAGAACATACAATACAGCTGTGAGGGCTATATGACTCTGGCTTTAGCTCAGTATGAGGACCTTTTCTAGCTTGTTAGTGGTTACCTTTATTGGTGTAAAAATGGCTTGACAAACCGGGTATAGTCCGGCCTCTATCCCCTTGAGTATAGGCTGCGCGTCATTGTACCATCGGGAAGGGGGGCTTTATATCTGTTTGCCGAGTGAATTTAAAGGTCCTAACTTGTTAGACAAACCTTTGAAAGGCTTCATAATGAACTCTGCCAACCTTCCTTGGTAGTGGGTTAAGAGGCTCACGACCTCGGGCGAAAGGGTAAATCATGACTCACAGTGAAAGTGTACAACCTCTACAGAGTGTAAAACTGTTATAACAGTCGTGCTCACAGTCACGAGCGGCCTTGGAACATTTATGAAATAGATGATGAACACTGATGATACTAATGATAAAGATACTCATTAATGATGAATTGTTTATGCTATTCATTATTCATATTTACCTAATCATGTGTTGATATGGGCTTGTGAATAAACTTGTTGCCACCCTATTGCTAAAATCATGTCTCATTAAAAGCTAATCGCAGTTAACCAGTGTCAGCCTTTTGAGCCTCATGAACCCCATATTATATTTGTTGAGTACGACATGTACTTACGCTTTTTTTACTTTTTAAATCTTTGAAAAAATCCTGGATGGCTACCAGTTTGCTAGTCTGGAGAAGTTAGGCTTGTGATCAACCAGTCAGTTGTTCCTGTGGAATTGGAGTCTTCACCTAAAGATCGGAGTTGTCTTTCCGCTATTTGTTATCTAAGGTTATATTCTTTATACTAAGTACGTTATATGTTGAGCATTGTCTTTTGATATTAGCCTTATTTGTAGCTATATGTGAGAGTTGACTTCCTAGGCTCACATATGGTGTGTATCCGATTTTATTCTTAAAATCGGGTGCTACAGTTACTGAGTTCTCCCATTCCAACCAAAGCAATCAAATCTCGGAGCCACATGTCTCACAATCACATGCATCCTTGAACTCTCTGCTCTAGTTTTTTATTCATGGAAATAGCACAAGATATGATTGAAGTGAGTTGCTTGCCGGCCGGTTAGCAAATTTATATGGATGTGTTGTGCCAACATATATTGTTCCCCCCTTGAATAAATGAAGACTATTATAGCCTTTTCACTATCTGCACCCTTACTTTATAAATGATGATATCTTTCTTTTTACCTTTCGTTTATTTATAAATGAAGATTGTAGCATTTTCTCTGTATCTACTTTAATGTCCAAAAGAAATTAAGCGTATATATCATATATCATGTATTCCAAATATGATGCATGTGGAAAGGATGAGCAATTTATTACCAACACTCTTAAATAAGAACACCTAAAATACTGGCTCGGCTATCTCGCAGATAATGATCTAACTCTTGTCGTCCACACAAGTATGGTTTATAATGAAGAAAAATGAATTTAGCGGCACTGCACTCTTGCTTGACTTTCTGTGGATGGCATGGTTTTTTCACGACCGTGCTTGTGCACTTATTTTATGAGAAAGCAATCACAATGCATTGGTAAGCCAACACTTACCAAAGCACTAATGATAAAGCACAGAGAAAAACATGAAAAGAAATGCAGAAGCACCAAAATAAACTAGAACAAGACAATCATGCACTGAGGTTACAACAAACAAGACTTGCGACCACAACCAGAAGCCTGCCCGCATGCCATACAATGGCGCTAGAGACAACAACAGCAAGTAGCGAGTAAGAACCCACCACGTTGTAGTACAAGTCACAAATAACGATGAAATCCACACATGGACACCCATGGACACCCCACACAGTGTTCTTGTCAAATGATCAGGACGATTTGTATCAGCGGGGGATGCAGCATCAGGGGTTGTGTATGGAGACATGCTGCTCTCCTAGTCTTCCCTTGCCTTCTGTTGAAGCCGAGACAGCATGTTGGATGCTGCTGAGTCCCGTGCCTCATGAGGCGTGATCTTCATGTCACCATCTGCACTCAAGTTGAAATCTAGGCCCGTAAGTTGGACACTGGCCTGGTACATATCTGCCAATATAGGAGTACAAATTGTAAAAGATCGAACATGTAGGAATTAAAAGCTATGAGAAAGTTTGCCCAACCAGCCGAGCTGGAGCAAAAAGAGATTCTGATTATATTTACAAGTGGACATTTGACTAATCCAAATTGTGATTAGGATGTATATGTTCTAAGATCATGCATATAGTATGGTATAAGATCAACTTATGTAAGCACCTATCGGAGTCCGAGTTTAAAGGTAGCTTTATATGCTATATGTGTGTCAGTTTTACAGTGCAAGACTGTGAAGCCTGAATTTAACTGCATTATTCTGATGCCTATATGGTCCAAGGACTCCATGCTACGGCATGCAGGAACTTGAAAAATCAGTGATTATCAACCACATACCACCGGTAACTGAAGGAAGTACTCTGTATCTTGGAAAAATCCAGTTGCTATCACGGCATATGTCATCCAGTTCCTGCAATGACTACTGTCAGAGAGAGACTTGTAGAGGCAGTCATGATAATAATTTACATCATATGATGTTTCTTGCCTGGCATTTGTTGTGTACAAGTATGGCTTCTCTCAGTTTCTTCCTCTTTATGTTCATGGTTTGGCATCCTTCTCCAGAGCTAATTGGATTGGCAACTTCCATCATCTTCCGACTATTCTCATATTTCTTTAGAATTGACGTTACTTTAGGTGTCATCCCCGTTTCTGCAGATGGTTTGAAAATGATATGCATTGGTTTGATATAACTTGAAGGTCAAAGATTGAGGTTGATTAGCGACAATCACACAGTTGAAAAGATATGTTGATATATATAGGTCTACAATTATTCTAGGGAAATTGAAGTAATCTTGCCAGTTGTCCTTGGGAGGCTAAATAATGTTCATGCACTTATATTCTGCAGCCTTGTTTGGATGGGAAGGTGACGCCCAACTCCATCATTCGAGACTATTCTAAGCCTAAGAGTACAATGCCCTCGTGCTATGTTTAGTAACATCGTGGAATGGAAAGAGAAGTTGTTTGCCACATGATCATTTGATTTCACACTATTATTGTCCATTTTATATACATTTAGTTGTGAAAAGGTAAAATACCTGTCAAGATTGTTTGAATGTCCATTTCGTACTCAGCACTTCGATCTCCAAGCACAAAATGCTCACGGAGCTGAAACGTAGATAGACTAAGATGAGTACACAATAGCTTATCAAGGAAAAGAAGAATTATGATCAACAAGCACCACTGTAACTTCAGAAATGAGTTGCAATAAGTAACATACTGTATCATCTCGCATCTTCTGAAGTAATTGTAGTGTCGCATACCTCTGAACATTCATGTTACCTATGATGCCACCTGAAATGCAAATTAAAGTATACAGATTAAGATTTGGGAGCATCAATATGGAAGTAATCAATAATAGGGAAAAGAAATTTCTTTTTTCTGGGATAGGATTGTCCTTACCAGACTTTTCACTGACTTTCTCCATTTGGCTTGTCAAGGCATGGTCGTTAATTACATGATCAACATCTGGTGTCTGAAAGATAATTAATTCTTTAAGTTGAAGTATTTTTTAAAAAAGGAATTCTTTAAGTTGAAGTTTAACACATAAACTTGCATATATTAATTATTATTGAACTAGAAACATCACGCCTGATTTCAATGCATCTTTTTCTCAAGCTCATATAGAGTTCTTTACCGGAATGATATCTTGGGGCACATTTCGACTTTTAGAGTTGTTCTCTGCTCTGTTCTTGTCCATTTGGACACCTGAAATTAAGTGACTTTATCATAATGATGAGGAGAAACAACAATGGATCAGTAAAATCGAAGTAGTGAAGTACTATAACATCAATAGACTCACTGGCTTGTAGGTCTTCTGTGGGGCTCTGACAATCCCCATGCTCTGCGTAGGTAGCAACTTTAGTCTTGAAGGCTTCAAATTTTCTTTTGCAGTTGGTGTTGCTGTCTTTTATGTTTTTCCTGGTGCTGCAGTTGTTGTGCCGCAGTTGTTGGTGCCACTATCACCAACTGCTTTTACTACCTTCTTATTTTTCTTTAGAGTTGAAACGTTTGTGGTTATTTTTTTCATTTTAGACTTGCTATTACTGTTAACTTCTTGTTCCTTTGGTGCGCTCAGTGAAGAACCCAAAGGCCAGTCCCTGCAACATGTCAACAGTAATGTTTAATCATTAATCTAAAAGAGTTCTAAGAAGAACCATTTTGATATTGGTTTCATGCATAATCAGCTGAAATAAATCTTTATGTATACCTGTTCAGGATGTTCAAGAAGACCTCCTTATATGGTAGTAAATGATAGCAATCAACAACAGATGTCGTTCTTGGGTATGAACCACTTTCAAATATAGGACCACTCATCCTGTCAGAGGAAAGGAAGAAATACAATAGGGATAACTTTTATAAATTAATACGATTGAAAATTTGTGTATTAACACTAAGCAAAACAATTCATTTAGGAGGGACAATCAACAAGCATTATATCCATACACACGAAACAATGTATCTTGAAAAGGTTCGAGAGAGATTTAGAAAAGTAACCATTGCTGATATCTGTTATGGTGGCTGTTATGGTTGCGAGGGAGGGAGGGGGCAGCCCAGGGGCCTTCCCCACGACCGAGCAAGAGAGAAGGCTTTTTTCCTTCTATAATTCTTGCTTCATTAGATTGATACATCTCCTCTTCTTATATAGATGGGCTTACTTGACCCCTAACAAAGCGATGCTTACCGATAGGCCAATGACATAGCCTAATCACCCCTTAATTCTCACCCAATCACTACTGCTAAACTTCTATATTAGTACCTGCTAATGGTGCACCCAGGATTCCCCTCAATTGGGCACCAATCTAGTCACTTTCCTGATTTGCTGCCTCTAACATTACACCCCTCCTAGACACAAGTAGCTCGTCCTCGAGTGCAACCTAACTTGCTGCCTCCATAATATAAGGTGGACATCATCCACACATCGGAGCTGCAAATGTACAGCCACCTAGATCCCATGGCGCAGTCTGGCGTGGGTGTCGAGACTTGGGAGTCAGCAACCAGTAGGCGCCCTCGTGGTGGGCAGTGGCGGTGCGTGCGTACCTCTGACCCCATGCCTTCTCCCGGCTAGATGGCTATTGGTCTGCGCCACATAGGGAAGAGATGAGGGCTTCTGATGGAGAACGACGAGGAGGGGTGCGCCTCCCCAAACCTCGTCACTGCAGACTCTCAGTTCAATGCCCACTTGGAAAATAGCATTTCTACCGCCTATGCGAGGAACCACATGCCCAAGATCCCCGACGCAGCTGACGAGATCGAGGTCCTCTGTGCATTGATGCGCAACTTGGAGGAGCCACGAATGGGTGTGGGTCTGAATCAGCTGCAGATCGTGCATCTCTCGCACCTACCCACGCTCTAGGAGCCGCGCGCAGCAACCTGTAGCCGCACTACCACTAACACCTGACCGCTAAGCATCTTCCCCGCCGGCTCTTTCATGATGTTCGTCGGTTGCTCGATCTGCTGCAACATCTCTCGCTTCGTCTTGGATCTACTAGGCACCGGTTATGGTGGTAGTGGTGGTTGCTGGTCATCGGGATTCCAGGGCCTCCAGACGTGCCCAGAGAGACGGCACCTGTAGGGAGAGGACGGTCAGCGACTTGGCTATATGATCCGACGGTTGCTCATCGGAACATGGCACCACCGATACGAGATGTTATGCTGGCTATTATGGTTGCGAGGCAGAGAGGGGGCCTGCCAGGGGCCTTGCACACGGCCGAGCAAGAGACAAGGCCTTTTCCTTCTAATTCTTGCTTGATAAGATTGGTACCTCTCCTCTCCTTATATAGAGAGGCTTACTGGATCCCTAAGCAAGCCATCCTTATCAATATGACCATGACATAGCCCAATCACCCCTTCATTCTCTCCCAATCACTCTTGCTAAGCATCTATATTAACACCTGCTAATGGTGTGCCAAGAATTCCACTAAATTGGGTCCCAATCTATCCACTTTCCTAATTTGCTGCCTCAAACAGCATTAATCTTAGATATTAATGTAAGAAATTGGGGGCAAATCAAGCCACTTTCCTGACATAATGTACTTATTTGACTAGGTCTACAACATGCAATGGTACAAAGTAGGCATAGTGGAAAAGCAAACCTTTCGATCACAGCATCTAAAGGCATTTCTTTAAGCTTGCTATCGACAGTCTGATCATAGTGCATAAGGAACAACATGGTAGTTGTCCCTTTATTACTCAGTGAGTACACCCGATGTTCTTCGATAAAACACAAATGTGTACGCTTCATACCTATTAAAACAAAAGTGTGTGAGACATACCTGTTAAGACATACAAAAGATAGGAGCACAAGTATATACTTTGCAAAATAAATAAAAACCAAGCACACAATTCCGCTTCCCAAGAAACTTGTGTATCGAGCACACAATCAGGTGTAATTTCCAAAAAGAAAATTGATTGCTATCAGCTCATGTACATAATCTAGTTAAGTTACTCTAGGACGCGATTGGTTGGCTTCTCGGCCAAGCTTGACTCGCTTCTAGGCATCCATGGCCTAGAGCGAAAATAAATGCACTGAAAATGCAACCAATCTTTAAGGAAACGCTCTCCCACGCGCTCGCCCGTGCGTGCAGCCATCAAAACATGGATTTTTTCCTCATGGGGCGAGCCAGGCCAGGGGGAGGCTTTTGCACGGAGCAAGCCTGGCCGACACCCTAGACTAGGAAACCAATCACGTGTATATTGCATCTGGCGAGCAGTCATGCAACCAATCGTGCCCCTAATGTGCCAGTGGATGCAAGGCCATATTCAATAATGTTTCAGTAGCAAACAACTTGTATAGAATCAAATTAAATGAGAGGAGCCAAACCACATCAGCTAGCCTAACTCCACAAAGTGACCATATTTTTTGCCCATGTGCTTGTGGGTGATGAACTACAATTCTACTACAAATTACTGACTTGGACGTGTAGCCAGTAGCCACAACAATATGCTACATCCAATTGCTCTAATTATTCGAAAAGGAATAAGGGTGCACACATACAATGCACTGTAATTAAGTTGAAGAAGAAAACCGTAGAAGTGTGTTAGCACAAACCTGTTTTGCGCTCCACCTCTGAATATGCAATCCGCTGAAGCATGTATGGTTCAGAAGGAAGTGCCGTAGATTTAATACTCGACCCCTGCACCGATATGTCACTGCTGATATCTTTCTCAAATATCGACCAGACTCCCTTGGTTTTGGATCCATGCTCGAGCAAGCATGCTTTCTTTGTTCGATTGAGAAGCAGAACAGCGACCTTGGAGATCGGCCACATGATCATCTCGGGGGAGTCCTTGGTGGGGTCGAGCGCCTCAGCAATGTCGCAGGCGTCGATGATTGCCTTGTCAGTAACCGATAGCCCCGCCGCCTCTACTACGTTCAGGTACATGAGTAGATTCTTGTTGCTGACGGTGAGGGAAGCGGACATGGAGAACCGGTCGGGGCTCGCAAACTGGAGCTGCGGGAACTGCTTCCGGTGGTAGTAGTTGTACAGGAGAACCGTCGCATGGACCTGCGCAACCACAAAAACAATCGCCGACGAGTTATTGAAAAAACAAAAGCGAATCTCAAAAGCCCCAAGCACGAAACAAATAAGCCGCAATAAGCTCGATATGATATGATGCAGCCGTGAGGAAAGCCGCAGCTCTATCGGCAATTGGAAAAAAAAGGAAAAGGAAGAAAAAAAAAGTGTGTGACCAACGTTAAGAGCTTAAGGCCCTGTTTGGGTGCTTTGAAATTTTATGCACCTGAAAATACAATACATCTGTAATTTGATGTGCACAAGAAAACCCAAGGAAAAACAAATGAATTTTACAACCATGGGAACTGTTATTTTTGTTGGATATAAAGAATGCAGTTCGTTGTCCGGCCTGCCTGCTCCAGATCCGGCTTCTGAACCCGCTGTGCGCTGGCGGCATCCCGGCAACCAGGCAGACCCCATGGACACTGCCACATCGTTAGCCTTGACCCTGAGTCCCGCTACATGCTCCACACCACACGCACTCTCGAGTACCTCAGCCTCCTCGCACATGCCGTCGCCGCGGACCCGATGTCATCATCGGCCTCGCACAGGCAGGGGACGCGAGAGACGTGGAGAGCCGGAGAGTGAAGATGGAACCGGCGTGCCGGATCGAGGCCCGAGGGTGAGCCGCTGGCACGGCCAGGCCACGAGGGGCCGAGCCGCCAAAGGGCGAACAGCGGCTGCCAAGCTCCCGAGCCCGAGCCTGCCCAGTGTGGTGCTGCCTCGTGACCGCCTGGCCTCCTACGCCGTGGCCCTTGGAGTTGGAGCGCCGCCGCCAAGTTCGATTGAGGTCACCCGTGGCCGGATCGGGAGATCTGGAGTGCTGAGCTTTGCTTCTGCTCGGCGGACGGATGACTCTTGACCCAAATCCACGGTAAGCACGTAGCGACCACTAGGTGTTCCACCGCCGCGAGACCCAAATCCATGCTCCGTCCTCCGTTCCTCAACCTCAATCGACCCTCCCCTCCAGGAAACCCCACCGCGAAAAGGGGCAATATATGGGTCAAGAACAAGCTTGCTAACCTGACGCGCCACGGCCTCCTGAGTCTCCGGCGACAGGGCCTCCTCCCGGTCCACCTGCCCGAGCGGCAGCACCGGCACCACTAGGTGCTCCACCAAGAGCTCCACCGCCTCCTCCAGCTGCACCACCGGTACCTCGCTGCCACTGGCGCCGCGTCTTTCTTCCTCCATCACCGGAACCCAAGCACTGTCCCGCGCCGCCTCTGCTAGGGTTTTGCGCCGCGGGGGTTGTTGGGGCTTTCTGGGCGGCTGCTGTTTCCGACGAGAGCAGGGACTGGACTGGGATCGTGCAGGGTGGGAGCTGTGGGGGTGGAAAAGGAAAACGGTGGGTGCGCGGACAGCGCAGGCGAGCGAGATCCGCCGTCCAACACGGGACTTCGTGGATCGCAGGCTGGCGAGATGTGTGTGTCACGGGGAGTTGGCCGCGGCGAAAGGCTGGCTGGCTTGCTGGCCTTGTGCTTGCGACTGGGGTACGACTGTACGTGGGTCCGGACTGGATTCTAGTACCGGTAACAGGCTTTTGTGAGTTGCCACTGCAGGTTCCACGGATCACCATTGGACGGGCTCAGGTAGTCAGGTACGGTGGACGGGTTGCGCTGCGACGCCTGGCTTTTGAGTTTTGAGGGCACGTACAACAGGCCTGGCTTTTGAGTTTTGTACATTTGCAAACAGCACCCTCGTGAACAGGAATCGAATGGAGGTCATCGTCTCGTGAGGCAACGATGACGGCTCGTGCTCCTAGGCGTACTCGTCGTCTCGGGATCCACCGGCGGCATGCGCGAGAAGCAAAGATGCGTGCCAAAATCACCGAGGCGAACTCAAGTTGCCAGTTTGGACCCCGCACCCGCGTCGCTCTCCAGGGCAGCTCAGGCTGCTCCTCCCATGCCTGTCACCGGAGTCTGTCTGTCCTCCCCGGCCAATTGTCCTCGCCGCCGCCGGAGCATGATGCCAGAAGTTGTGCAGTTGCAAGGATGGCGGCGGCGAGGCCTTCCCTACCTTTCTTTTTTCCCTCCTCTGTACGGATGGCGACCATGTCGCGACAGCAGCAGCAGCTCGCTCCCAACATCCCACAACGCCTCCTTCGCTGGATCTGGCGTTCCTGTGGCTGGATCTAGCGCGGCCCGCTCTCGGCGGCAGCAACCCGGCTCTGGCTAGAGGGCACGGAGAGGCGAATCTCGGCTCACCAGGGCCGGATCTGCGGTGATCGGGTTGGGCGCGGTGGACGCGCAGACGCCTAGGTGGGGCGGCCGGCGGCATGGCAGTGGGCATCGATGCGGTGCCGGTTGTTGTTCAGGCGGTCAAGCGGGAGGTCGGCCTGGGCGCTGCGACCACGTGCGGCCTGGTCGTGGCGGACACGGACGCGGAGGCCTGTGCGCGATGGGCGGTGGTGCGACAGCGTGCATCAGCGCCAGCCTTGACTGTGGCTAGCTGATGTAGAAGCGGGCGCGGATGCCTGGGGGCGGCGAGCGACGACGTGGCAGCGGGTTTCGGCCTGTCAATACTATAGATTGATTTATCACTGTCGTCAATTTCACTGCCGTAGCGATAGAAGCGACGGTGTGGTACTTGCAGTGTCTATTGGAACGATAGCGAGGCCTCCTAGTTCTAAAACCGGCAGTTCAGACTTCTATCACCGACGGGTTAACGATAGATGCGGCAGTGGTATTGGGGTTGGATTTCCTCCGTCGCATAAAAAGCCAGGCCGACTGGGATACGCATTTTGCCCGCCGGCCGTAAAGTAGTGTTTAGTCAACCAGCCATAAATTCAACGTGAGTGTTGAATTGCCTCAACTTCCAAGGCCGTCAAATCACCATTACTTTCGCCACCTGAAGCCTAAGAGCCACGTACCCACTGCTCTACATATACTTCAAGCCCGGTGCCCTCTGAAACGACCCATCTTCTTCATCGATCATCCCTTCTCTTCCAATCTACAAAGAAAATGTTGGACAGCCCCATCAAGTTTTCAAGCAGCGCGTCGTTCAGCGAGGACGAATTGCCTTCTCACCACTCCTCCGAGGAGAATGTCTCCTCCGACGATGGAACGTCTCCTCCGACGATGGAACGTCTCCTCTGACGAATTGCCTTCCCACCACCCGGTGGAGGAGGATGAGGACGAGGATGATGCTGACGCCAATGCCAAAGACGACAACGACGAGTCTGATGACGACTCCGACTCCGACTTCGCCTCGTCTGCTCCCAAGAGAGCGAGGCGAGTACAATCCTCTCTGCGAGAGGATCATATATTTAGATTAAGTTGTTTATAGTTAGTATAAGTAGTTTCAATAGTTTAGGTTAGTTATCTTGCTTCCAGACGAGTACAATTATATACTCGTCCAAATTGTATCTATATGTTAGATATATATAATCAATCAATGAAAAAAATTCTATTCACGCAGATTTGATCTCTTCAGTGCCAACTTTTTTTATATGAAATGCAAAGCAAGTTCTTTCCAACACTACTTCCAAAATGCCAGTGCACGGATTTGATCTCTCTACGAATGTTTTTTTAATTTTTCTATATATTTGTGAACGAAAAGGAAAAAAAATTGTCACGTATGGTTGCAGTTGTTTCTAGGAGAATCTAAAAGCAGTTTAACCACTGACAATCACCATATTATAGTATTGGATTAGCGTGTCAATGGTCGGCTTAATACAAACACTGTTTAACTTATCCCATGCCGTTCATTCTCACTACCGATCAATCTAGATCGTCCGTTTGGCAACAAACCTAGAAGCGCCCGGCCCATTCCCAACTCCCCTCGGTCCTATCGGAGCGTTGGCAGCAGTTCGAACAACTAAAAAACCTCAATATGAATCTATTAGTTCTCCCCACCCATTGTGGCTTCATCTTCATTCTGCCCATCCGTTGCTTCATCTTTATTTTGACCTGTTGCCTATACTTGCCCAGCCTCGAGCACCTTCCATTGTCGTCATGGATAACGCCCCGTGAAGGTTAGATGGATTCGGTCACCCCCCTGTTTGCATTTGGTTCCAATTGGTTTTAGTTTTGGTCTCAGTTTTGTTCATATTAGGAATTTCATCATTGCAACAGATGTCTTACTTGGGAAGAAGCCATTTCAATGTGAGCAACCTTGCGTTTTAGTGGCTAGAGGTGGCACTAGGACCCCAGATGATGTTGTTTGCTACTTGGGGATAGAGCATTCACCCGGACCGATTGTTGATTGTTGAAGCCACTATTTGTCACCTTCTCGGACCACAAAATTTGACAAGAATCGTTCAAGACCCTGTTTGTGGAGAGACTTTTGTGCTTTGCAGGACTGGACAGGAAGTAGACATACTTTATAGATACAATGTGTCCACATATGGACATGTTGTCACCTTCACTACGGTTCACTACCTCTGGCTTTCGGGACCACACAACCAATTGAGTACCTGAGCAACTACCTACCCATCTGACATTAAGTCTTAGAATTTATGAAACTTTTATGTTAATGAAGTTTATATGTACTGATGAAACCTCTGGATTAGTATGTATGAGCTACTGCAGAATTGTTGAACTATTACTTGGTTGAACTGTTAATTGAATCCATTGGTCTTGATTGTGGTTCACGTGTACACCTCTATGTAAGCACAGAGGATCCAAAATAGGCCTTCTTCTATAGGCGGATAGTACCCTAAACCGCTAGTGACATAGCATTTCATCTTGGCGGGAGTGCGAGGGTTTTCAAGGACATTTTGACACCTTGGTGGGAGGCAAAAGCGTAGACAAAAGACCTAGGCCGACCACTTCACTCAGAGTGTGCAACACTTTCAACCTTGACTGCTCCAAGGCTGCATCTAGCTCCAATTCCTCCCAGTGGTTGGCACCATCCCAGGGCACCATCGTGAGAAGAACACCGGCTTCCAGCGGAGGAGGCTACAACAGGAGGGGGTCGCCCATCCCGTGCCGTGTTGAGAACCACACCTACGCATACTAGCCATCACTTTTGTGTCGCTACGGCTTGAAGACGCCTCGATGGATTTTCGTGGAGTGATGGAAACCCAAGACGTCGATACCACAGATGCTGCAGGGCAAATAATGTAACTCGATTTCTTTCTTGTTCATTCTATTCTCGTAATGCAAATGTTGAAATCCCACTATACTTATGGTAATTTGGTTTTTTCATAGCCCAACTTAGATTGCGGGTTCTCTAAGTGGCACGATCCCCCATATGAAAAAATTCTAAGGACTTTGATTTTGGATTTACATAACAAGATTTCGAGTTGAAGGCGGAGGCCAATGTTACAACAAATGAAGAACATCTGCAGGAGGAAGAGATTATGCCATAGATTGAAGAAATGGCTAGGGTTCCAACAAAGAAGATGGAAGATTCTGTACCTTTGAAAAAGAAATGTGGTTCTTGTTCTTGTTTCACCTATTTTGTACTTACCTTAGTTCTTGATATGTTCATTGGCAAGTTGCTTAGTTCATCGTAGTAGATTCAGGTATCAATTCATGTATCCAACTGAAATCTGTCACTTTTGTATAACTATTGTTGAACTAAATGTAAGGTGATTAACTAGGTGTTCAATTTATTGAACCGAAAATGATAGTAGATCCAAGTATCAATTGATGTGTTTTAGGCATCCTACTTCCCTAGACACTGGGCCCTGGTACAGGGGCAACCAATTTATTGAACTGTATATATACTCTCCTATGGTCTTACCACACCTTCCTCCCATCCATTCCCCACTCTGCTTCCTTTCTCTCCTTCACCCTACTAGCGTCGGACACAAGGCAGCCTCTCGCGTGCTCACCGCACCTTCACCTCCAACATCGCTAGTGCACAAATCTTCATCGTGTCATCCCTACTTCTCTACTCCATCTAAATATATGGTAACTGCACTGGATCTGCTCCTTCACCGGACTCTATATTCTTTTGTATTGCTCTCTCGTGCTCTCTGCTCCTTCACCTCCAACCTAGCTACAGTAATTTTATTGGATCTGTAGATAAAAATACATCTTATTGTTCTAAAGTTTGTGGCCTTGTATATCTGTGGAGTGCAGCTTGTGAGCCTTATTGTCCTCAGTATTGGTTCACCGAATTAGTGTTTTCTAAACAAAGTTGATGAGCTAAATGAAAGTGTACCATTGGATGTGGATAGGGTTGTAGTGGTCAAGGCTTGGGATGACATGAAGATTGACAATGATCTTATAGAGTTTCACAAT